TTCTGCCTGGCAACAGCAGTTAGTTCAGACTTTAGGGCCATGTTACCTTTCCCAGCATTGGCTTCATCATGCTTAGGGATTGTGTCTTTCTTGAAGTTCTGGGCTCCAATTCATTGCAGATCATATCTCAAGAAGATAACATAAATGTCTTTTATTTGTGCCCAACCCTTAAGAATAATTACTAGATTCTGTCTGGATTGTATTTGATTCTAGAAGATGTTGGGTTCTATTTGGTCATGACCATGACATACTGCATTGTAAATGGGGGAAATGCCATTAGTAATTCATGATGTGAAAACTCATCATAGTCAATTAAAATGATCACTATGGTAATGAAGTATCCTGAGATACTTATTTATCTCCCATACCAAATTCTTATAGTTGTTATTTTGACTAGAAGCAATATGCCAGATTACCTTTTCTGACAAGTTAGTGGACTCAGGTAAGTGTTGAAGAATATTATTTTAAGATGTGAACATTTTTTTAATGATGCAAAAATATGTTGCATTCTTTTATGTCGCATTTGTTTAACTTTGTGAAGCTGTGTTACTTTGCCTGTATAAAACACCTAATTGGTCTAATAAAGAGCTGAATGGCCAATAGCAGGGCAGGAAAAGGGATAGGAGGGGCTGGTGGACAGAGAGACTAAACAGAAGGAGAAAAAGAGAGCAAAGTTCAAAAGAACAAGCAGAGAAGGACACTAGAGGCAAGCCACCCATATACACAGACAGCCACAGAGTAAAAGTGAAAGTAAGAAAGGGAAAAAGCCCAGAAGCAAAATGTGGATGGGATAATTTAAGAAAAGCTGGATAGAAACAAGGCAAGCTAATGCCAGGCATTTATAAGAAAGAATAAGCCTCCGTGTGTGATTTATTTGGGAGCTGGGTGGCAGCCTCCCCCTAAAAAAGAACAAAGAGCTGAAAGAATATAGAGTAAGAAAACAACCAGCAACAGATAAGGTTGGGAATCTCAGAACTGAAAGCTTCCTGAGAGTTTTTGGCTTAAGGAGTCTTTCTGAGTGTAATGATCATGTCCTATTTCCTCATCAGGACCTTTATTAATTTTTCTGGGTAAAGAACCCCAAATAAGATGCTGACTGAGAGGAAAGACTAACAGAAGAGCAGTTATGAATGGCAAATATGGGTGATGGTAACAAATAATTACAGAAATAGAGAATGCAGTAGCCTTGCATATTATATTCCTTATTATTAATCATGTATGTTATACATATATATATACATATATTCATATATATTTGAGCAAAATATATATACATATATATGGTAAGTTTATAGGAAATAATATGCTTTGGTGGCTTTTTTATCTTTCTGTCTTAATTTTTTTAAATATATGTGCTGTTTCCATACAAATAGCCTCACAATGTATCTTTCAAAATAGTATTGAGGTCAAGTTATCATTTTACTAGAAGAATAAATATTATTAGTCAGAAATATGTATATATATATGATGTGTAAAGATAGAAATAAAATGACTGAGGATGGGGGAGATGATTCAGCAGGCAAAACACTTGCTGTGTAAGCATGAAGACCTGGGTTCAAATCTTCAGAACCTGATAAAATTGGGTAATAAAATACACACCTGCCATGCTAGTGTTTCCAAAGAATAGATAAGAAAGTCCCCAGAAGCCCATGGCCCAGATACTCTGACATATGCAATAGCAAATACCAAAAAGATCTTGTTTCAAACCAGATGGAAGGTGAAGACAAACACTTGAGGTCATTCTCTGGCCTCTGCATGTAGACCATGGCATTTGTTCATCTGCATTCAGACACACACAGAGGCACACGCACATGACTTTCAGGATTTTGAGTATATGCTTTTAAAAACTGATATGGGTTTGTTTACCTAGAGTTTTCCTGCCTTGCCCACAGTCAGGACAAATCTCTGTCACCCGCCAGTCCCACAGCCGCTCAGACCCAACCAAGTAAACACAGAGACTTATATTGCTTACAAACTGTATGGCCGTGGCAGGCTTCTTGTTAACTGTTCTTATATCTTAAAGTAACGCATTTCTACAAATCTATACCTTGCCACGTGGCTCGTGGCTTACCAGCATCTTCACATGCTGCTTGTCCTGGCAGTGGCTGGCAGTGTCTCCTTCTGCCTTCCTGTTCTTTTATTTCTCCTCTGTTAGTCCCGCCTATACTTCCTGCCTAGCCACGACCAATCAGGTTTTATTTATTGACCAATCAGAGCAACTTGACATACAGACCATCCCCCAGTACAGCCAAGTGCAGACCATCTCAGACACCTGCACTCAGGCCCATGGTCCTAATCATCCTCTATGCAAACCTGCTGGGTAACGCCACAAGGAACCCAAGAAGGGCTCCCACAGGACATACATTAACATCCCACAGCAGGTTTGTACATTGTTTGTATGAAGGATAATTGCATCTTAATATTGCAAAGTAGAACAAATAGGCACAAAATTATATATATGGTATTAATATAGTAAAGGATCATTGTACAAGGATTTGTTGGCTCAGTGTCTAACTTTTCTGATGCTTGAGCTAAAACTGTATTTTCTTTTGTCCAACATTGGAATTTCCTATAGGTTCTTCCAGGCAAGATTGCTGGAGGGACAGAGGAAAGCAAGAGTGTAGGGAAAGAATCTGTTCCCTTTTGTTCACTGACTTTGCCCTTCGAAGTTGCTTTCATTTTGAGATGCAATTGTTTCCCATCTCTAGAACATTGTCTCTCCAGAGTCAGCATACTTTATGCCTCCCAAGTGTTTTACATTCATACAAGGAATATATCCCCAAGAAGTGGTCCCCAATCTTCAGGAGTTCTCATTCAATCCCCTGAGGGCCAAGCCTCAGCTTTGGGAACCCAGTGAGCTGATCTACAGGACCAAGGGCTAAGCTTCTGTAACAACCTAGACAGTGTCCTCTACTGAGATGGCAGAGTCCTACTCTATGAGGGCCTCTTTCCTAGATTTCTGGATTCTGTAAACCTCTTCATTCCTTCATGTTATCTGCTTCCTAGAGTTAACCTCTCTGTGTACCTTAGCAGATTTTTATACGTTAAATCCTCTCTACTTAAATACATAGCTTGTTTTCTGTTTTACAGTCATAATATGGTTTCTAATAGCTGTGAAACAAGAGTCCCCATCCACGCACTCAATTCCGTATCTGCTTAATTGGGGCTAATAGAGGAAACCATGTAAATAGTACCTAAAGTTGTGTTTCCCATATTGTTTTATAGGGAATTCTATTGCTAAGATTTTCTTTTACAAAGTGAAGTTCACAGTCATAAGGAGGTAGGAAATGGTATCTTCCCACAGCAGATTATTAGCAGCTTGCCACACATGAGTGCAATAAAGACTGTGGGAAGTCTAGCAGAAGAGAAACCTGTTTTAATATTGACTCAGCATCTCTCTTCCAAATTATTTGACTGGGGAAACTGTTTTCTTTTCAGTTATTCTCTATTACTATCCCAGGACATACATTGAGAAACAGCATTCTCTAGAATCCTAAGAAAGATGGAAGCCTTATAATTCAATGGAGTTATTTTTTAATCTCCTTTTATTAGGGAGGGATCTTTAGGCATTCCATGTTTCTATTTGTGTTTCAACTGCAAAGAGAGAGAGGGAGAGAGTAATGTTCATTGTATTAAGATTCAGAATGAAGGTGAGGAATGATATGGAGGATGCCAAATTCCAGAAGAGCAATTATGGAAAATGAAATACAGTGTGAGAGAACACTGGAGAAAGGGAAGAAGAATCATATTTCATTAGACTGGGACAGGTGTGATTAAGGTTAGTGAATGAGCTATGGTATGATACCAATGCCTAGGTATGATTCTCAGCTGTAACACATTAATGAGAGTTGATTTTACACCTTTCTTTTTCATACTCTGGGGGCCTTTGTGTCTTTTTCTTATATATATATATATATATATATATATATATATATATATATATATAATTTGAAATCAAATATATAGTTACTAGGGGGAAATGCAACCTTCTTCTTCCTCCCTCCAACCCTCCCTCTGTACCTTTCCTTTCTCTCTTTAGAATCTTGGCATCTAGTTTTTTAAATTATTGTTACACATATATGTAACATACATACATTCATAAATATGTAAATATAACTTGTTCAGTCCACATAATATTACTTGTATGTATATGATTTCACAGGTGACCACTTGGTATTGGATAACAAATTGGGGCTCTTCCCTTGGGGCTTTGTTTTCTTCAACTTCAAATAGAGAAAAGTAGCAGAATATGCTTGATGAAATTGAAATGAAAACTCAATATTGCTTAGTTTAGATGATGATAGAAACCTACCTGGCTTCTAATTACTTAATATACTCCTCGAAGCAGACATGGACCCTGTGTAATTATACCATTTTTGTTTATATAAATTAAAGAAATAGCATATTTTTCTTCCAGTATGGAAAGATCTTTAGAAGGATCTACCCCAACTATTCTATTCTGCAAGTGAAAATGGGGCCCACAAGAGTTTAAATATACTTGGTTAAGAAATAATAAATAATTGGATAGAGATCTTATCTCTTTTATCTTTAGTAGACAGATATTTCAATTAAAATTGAAATTTTTATCTGTAGTGGGTGAGGTTTTTTTGTTTTCATGAAAAATGACAAGATTATTAGTGCCAAAGTGTTTTTTGGTGGATGGGTTATGAGATTGAGTCTGTTTGAAAGACTGCATGGCATGTCCTCTTTTACTCCTGACTCCTCTTTCCTTAGAGTCATTTTTGTAAGAGAAACAAAGAGGGGTCATCAAGAATTGGGGGAAAGAGAGACGAGAAATCCCATCCAGATTTTACTGTTGATTGTGGAGAAGCAAAAGGAAGCAGTGAATGTTTGACTATGACTCAAAGCTTCTTAGCTGCTGGCTGAGCCTGGCTGTCTCATACCTCCTGTGTCTCAGAACTGGTGTCATTAACACTGGGAAAAAGGAAGCTAGTTCAAGAAAACTTGTCTCTCCATCTTTATGAATCAGAACAAGGGAGGCAGGCTTGTTATGGTTTTATTTACTATTATATTTAGGAAAGTGGAACATATGTGTGGTAACCACAATCAGAATATACAGTCATAGTACACAGAGTGACCTTCCTAAAACTTCCTGGTGTTATAGCAGGCATATACTTTTAAAGATGAATTCAGTGGGAAGTAGCAACAGTATTGCAGCATAACTAAAGCTATGTACATATGCATACATAATTTATAAACTATGTTTTATTTATATGTATATAATGCCACGTTTTATTGAGGTAAAAGAACACAGCAAGGTTAAAAAGAACTGTCTAACTGAATATAAGCTGTCCAATGCCACTGAAAGTTCTTGTAAAGCCATAAAGGCCTCCAGCATGCTGAGCAAACATACAATAAAGATTTAGAATAGAAATTAAGCAAAAATAAACAAATTTAATGCAAGCTTTAGCGTGTCTGAGTTTGTCTGCCTTGTGGGAAATATTATTCACAGTGACAATTAAAAATATTGAACAATGAAAATAAAGGTTGGCAAACTCATCCTGAATCTACCTTATATGCATACATTATTATTACTAACTATTTTATTGTATAGAAAAGCCATATTTTCAGTAGCCTTCCAATTTCAATTTTGAAGAGTAACATCATTGTTTTGGCCCGTACATGCTTATTCCACATTATGAATTACAGATATTCAGTTTTCACTTCATATCAGAAATGAGACTATCTACACAAATCTTAATAATTTGTGTGATGTCAGGGAGGAAAACGAGACACTGCAGCATCCGGGTTGTCCTGGCTGCAAACTACTCAACAGTACTGCTCACTTCCATTGTGTCTTTGGAAAGGTAAACTATCCAGTACACAAGGTTGAATCCTGCAAATGCTACTGGGAAGAGAATTCGAGAATACTGATCTATTTTACTGGTGCCTCCAACAGATGGTAAGAGCACCGGGGGAGTGACAGGTGTTGATTGTAAGATAGGTGTTCTACTGAGGACTTTGCTGGCCTCAGAAGATGGAACTATCGGCAAAGTCAGGGAGCTGATCCTCTTCTTCAGGTAGTATTTGGAGTCAGAATGCTGAGGAAGGAAAATAGATTGTTAATATAGCAAAATAACAGAGGTCTCTTGATTAGACAGACATAACTTTCACCACTGGTACATATTTATTAACTATCCATGTGTGGTAAAGCCTCAACAAATTTGTAAGAGTATGTTATATTGTCATTTTTCCAAGAGTTACAACACTTACAAAGCTTTTAACTTTGTGTATGTGTTTGCAGTGCTGGAATTTAAATGCATAGCTTTGTGCATGAAGACCATGTCTTTACCACTAATACATCCTGCCCTCAAGCAGAAACTGAAGATAGCTACAATCTTCTGTTTCCTTTTTTTTTTTTTTTTGAGCTGTCTGGGAATTAGATTCTATCACTGAGCCATATACCTCCATCCTCACTTCAGAAACAGTCGTTTGCTTCAATCTGACGTCCCAAAAATTTAATACATCAACAATAAATGCCAAGCATTAAGTATGTTTGAGCTATTAAATAGAGAATAGTACAATTAGGAAAAATTGATACAAGTTACAAAATTATATTTAAATCTCTAAGCCAATGAATGTACATAATCAAGTCACCCCTCTCTCTCTCTCTCTCTCTCTCTCTCTCTCTCTCTCTCTCTCTCGTGTGCACGCGAGTGTGTGTGTGTGTGTGTGTGTGTGTGTGTGCGCGCTCGCACATGTGTGTGTAGGGGGTGCATTCAGATTAAAACATGTGGACAACTTCATGAAGAAGGTAGAGGCTTGTGTAGAGGAAAAGACAAGAAAATTAGAAGAACGCTGTAAACAACTAGAGGAAAGGGCAAACAAATTAGAAGAAAACAATAAAGCCCTCCAAGAAAACAATAAAGTCCTGGAAGAAAACATTAAAATCCT